TGCCAACTTCGAAGTTACCCGTGCCGCATTGTGGTCTACCCCAGACCCGGCCGCCGGCCAAAGTCCCCGCCCCCGGCCCCGCAGGAGCTTCTTCGCCTTTGGAACATTTTCAGCTTCAACCTCTCTCTGGGCAACCGCAAGTTCTCAACTCAACCTTTGCTGTTGAGAAAACTATGAAGATATTCCATGCTAAGGATATCTGTATCTTGCCCGTACTTACTGCAGACTCGCGGCCAGTCTTATGCCTTCGCAGCGAAACCGTCCACTGTAGCTCGTCCCTCCCTCTCAAGACCCAAACACCCTCATATTGCATATCAGCCACATATAGAAAACACACTTATAGCATCATCTACTACTACACTCTCCCCAGCAACAGTTCGTTCAATGCCGGCCAAACAGCCCAGCTGGCCGACGTCATCCCCCACTACTGAAACCAATATCCACAACGACAGATCATCGATGATGGACATGCGTGATGCGATCAAGACAGCCTATTTCGATGATGCGACTGAACCAGTCACTAATACCGCCCATTGTTCCGTCAATATCCACGTATCGCACCAGATAATGTCCAATACAAGTGTGCTATACGAGCTCAGAACACCCAGCCCGACCCTACATCAGCATTTTCGCCAAACACCCCCCCCCCCCCCGACCCCCAAAGTCCTCCTTCAACCCTCACTCTCACGCAATATAATGCAAATGTCTTCTCAGAACAGACACATACGACCACACCCATCGGAAAATTCGGGATCCCGTCCGCTCTCCCATAGACAAGCCGATGAGGGCCAGATCAGTAGTTGAGTCGGTGACGATCAGCGAATACCTGGTGTTGTATGTTTTTGTTCTCTTTTTTGAGCGACCATCGTGGTATGTTGCTAGCCATTTTCCACTCGGGTAGGAAACCAAACCGAACCGCCGTAATCCCCCTTTCCTCCGGGGTGTGTGTGTCCTGTGTGATGATGTTGCAGCCGAGCCGCCGCCGGGACCGGGACTGCATGAACCACATCACCCGAGCAGCCGACACAAACGCACGTCAACGCTGCATCAAAGAAGCATGAGACAAGTTTCCCGGTGCACCACCAAGTCCAAGAAAAGTTTATTGTATGCAGAACAATGGGGAAAGGAAGAAAAACTGCCGCTTGACCATCCCTATCCGAATAACCATTGTTGGAGGACTACTACTAATGGGGGCCGGGTAGGTACCTTAGTCAAGTCAGCTAAGCGCAAAACTTAGCTCATAATCGACATGCGTGTCATCGAAGACTAATGTACCTAGACTTACTAAGATGGTGTTGAAATATCGGATGGATTTGCAGGGTCTCTCAGTTTGTCTTAGTCGCTTGCTGGGTATGGAATGATTAAGAGGTGATTGGGGACACGCTCTAGTCAACATAGCGTTCAAACGTCGCGAACGGTTACGGTAGGTCATCTTAAGCCATAAGAATATGCTCCCCATTAACTCCCTGATAGCCAGAGGTGTGCCTTGAAAGCCGCCAGAATCCTTCGCCCTCTTTATTGCTCTAAATGTAAGAAAAAACAATGCCTGCAATAACCACCTCTTGACCATCACATCATGGGCGGGCCGTGTGGCGGACCCTGTTCGTATCTCCGGATAACCTCGCCTAGCAACTCTTCCCATCCTAATCCTGACCACAACACACTCTTTACATCACGCTACACCTTGCGTAGTTCTGCTGGCACTGCTCCAGGTACCCCATGTCCTCCTCGGACCCTTCGACAATGTTATGCTGCCTCACCAAGCCCATAACCTTGAGCGTCTGCTCCCCGTCCGCGTGCCACCACTTGAGCTTCTGCACCAGCGGGCCCTCGTCGTCGTCCATGCTAATCGCCCACTTGCCCGACGACACCTCGACCGTGCAGTTATCCTGCGGGTAGTGGAACTCGGGCAAGAACACCACCGTCGGCGCCGTCTCGGACGGCGGCGCGGCGGCCTTAAGCTTGAGCGTGAAGGTGCAGCTGCGCAGGTCGAAGCCGTACTCCAGCACGTCGCCGGCCACGACGACGGGGGTCGGCCGCACAAAGGCCTCGGCGGCGCGGAGGCCTGGTGCGTTGGTCAGCTCTGGGTCCTTGGACGGGGCGGATGATATCGACGGGTTCGTGATTGTGCTTTGCAGGTTTTCCGGCGTGACGGTCGATTCGTCCGGGACGTCTCTGCTCATGGAGTTGCGCTTGAGGTCTGACGACGGGTTGGGTGATGGGCTGCGTGGGAGAGGCGACATGGGTAGTGTCTTATCGTCTAGTGAGAAGACTGACAGATCCTCGCCGTTCCAAAGATCACCGTGCTCGTGAGTGTTCTTCAACGTGTGTTAGCTAGGGTGACATCGCGCATGAGAGAGATTGCTTACCTTTGCAACGTAAACCCACAAACAGTGGCCCTCCATTCCCGAGCCTTCGGCACCAAAATAGTTGGCATCCAAGGCAGCTGATTGATCCGAGTAATCTCCCGTCTTGTACGCCTTCTTGTTGCCCATATCGTATGGGATACCGAATTCCGTCATCACGCATGGGTGGTTGCCCATCCTATCCAGACCTTCTTGCCGCAATGACGCAAGCTGGTCTTTGAAACAGTTCCGGATAGCAGTCTCACCGACCTTGACAGAAAGCGCCTCGTGCCAGTATCGCCCACGCAGCACGCCTACAACGTCCACGTTCCACACTCTGTTCCATCGTTTCGTCATGAGCGTAATACCATCGTACCAATGCGGTGCAAATGCCATCATCGGATCGTCATCGGCGGTGCCTTTGATCTGAGGTGGTAGCTCGAGTGTCGGATATTGCATCAGCATAATGCAGTTCTTGTGGATGGGTCGGATAGCGTCTCTGTACAACCGGTACGAGTCCATGAAATACGTATTAGTAAATTCCGGATGGTCGATCGTCTTTCCGGTCCTAGGGTTCTTCGAGAAATAGTCCTTCTTGACCAGGGTATCCGTCTTTGTGTCCCAGATACCGTGCTGGGCCCAGATGCACTCTCCAAGCTTCCACCCCTCGTCTCGCTTCCAGCCGTATCTCGAGTCGTCGTAGTCGGCGGGCAGCCAAGCTATCTCGCCGTGGGGGTCAATCAGCGAGCGGCCGACCTTGTACGGGCCCATGCCACCCATGTCCCACGTTTCCACCTCGCATGCGCGGCCAGATCCCGTGAGGAGCGTCTGCCAGATCGTCGGGCACGAGCCCTTCTTCAGCTTCTGCGCGTTGGGGATAACGGCGATATCCTGGTAGCCGACCAGACCGCAGCCCGGCTCGTTCATGCTCTCCCACCCGATGACGACCTCGTTCTCGAGGTCGCCGGCCTCGTGTATGCGCTTCGCGAGGTGCGCGCAGGCGGCGACGAAGTGGCCCTGCAAAAAGTCCTGGATGTTGATGCCGTTGATGATGCACTTTGGCGCAAAATCCCTGCCGCCAAAGTACATGGTGAAGATTGTCGCGGCGGCGAGACGCCAGTAGTTTGTCGACCAGATCATCTTGGGGAACTCTTCGGGCTTCGGGTATGTGTTGTGCACGATCGCGGCCTCGGTGGCGGAGAAGCTCTGCGGGTTGAGGCCGCAGGCGTAGATAGTCCACATGGGAGCGCCAGAACCACCGCAGTACCTCGACCACTGTAGGGTTTGTTAGCTTAAGGAGCCATAGGGAAAACAACAGCCAAACATACCACATCCTGGTGGGGGTCCATGAAGATGTAGAACCCATATTCTTTGGCTATCCTCAGAATCTCAATCGTGTGCTGGATCCATTCTTCATCGTAACGTCCTGGGCCGGCGGCTTCGATGGCCTCCCAGGTGAAGACGTAACGAATGGTGTTGTATCCGTAGCGCTTTATCCTCGAGAAATGTACGTGGGCCTCGTCCTTGGGAAAAGGACGGTTGTGGAACTTGACATTATCGCCATCGAAGAAGTCGTCGCCAATGTGCGAGGGCTGGTCGGGCTCGCTGGGGAGCTTGGCGTCGGCGGCGACATTGAGGCCTCTAAGCACAACTTGTCTACCGTAGCCGTCGCGGAACTGGCCGTCTTCGATAGTCAATCGAAATGTGGACATGGCGAGGGCTTGTGTTGTCGAGAGCTGGCAGTTCGTCTCGTTCGCTATGCCGCCAAAATGCAATGACGATGTCCCAGAGCTTGGAGGTGGAAAAGGGAAAGTTGCCTTTGGGGTTTCGAATAGGAGAACACCAGAATACACACGTAGCGACCGACGACAGCGGACTGAACGGGTCACCAAAGGTCCGAGATTGGAATAATTGGGACGGTTCGATGACGTCCTGACGGGGTGCCCTAATTAGCGGGATGCGCAATGTCAGTCGACGGGTGGAGGTACCTTATCGGGCCCAGCGTACGGCTTTAGCGACCGCCAAGCGCTAATTCCTCCGGGGGCCTTTACCTCAAGCGAGTACAAACGGTCTCCCCCTGCCGAGTAGTTAATTACTTTGACCTTGAACAATGAAACTGTTTTGTTTCCGTAGCTACAAGCAGAGTTGAAGAACAAAGCAAACAACCTAAGGTAAGGTAAGTCAAAGAAGAGAAGAGAGAGAAAAAGCTTGGCTCAACAACTAGGTATGGGAAGTAGACCATTCTAGACTTTTAAAGCAAGACACAATTGTCACACCCGCCACAGCGCAGCGCCGCAGCCTTCATCCAAACGCCCTGCAGAGTCCCGGACAATGCAGCGCGAGGTGGGAAAAGGCGTCTGCGTGACTGCGCCTGCCACCCTCGCTCGTTTTCGTGTTCCACCTGTGACCCCCGAAGCCAATGGGAGCCCTTCCTAAGGGACTCTAGCGGGGTCAGGCGGAGGGGCCGCGGCGTCGGTTCTCGCTTGAACTCCGGGCTGACGCCGCCAAATGGTCGGACACTCAACGGGATAGAGGTGGGTCTAACCGGCCCGCTGGCTCCGGAGTAAGCTCCAGCTCCTTCTCCAAGCAGCTCCGACTTACCTTAGGTACACGGACACGCACCTACCTAATTACCTTACCTTCCCAAAAGGTACCTTACAACAACGAATCCTGGATGCGCCACGCCTCCAGTGAACTTTTCAAATCTACCTATCTTTATAACAATTCGGCCTAAGCTTAAACGATTCTGACATTCCTACTGTTGTCCCAAAGCCAAGTATCATTGCCACCAAATAATTCCAACAATCCTTGACTCGTATACGCGTAAAGCCAACGAGGATTTGCGGGCCAGTTTCACGCCAGAAGGACTAATAACAAACCCACCCATTCGCTTTCTCGCTTTCGTAAACTCAGCCACAACGGTGTTGCAATCCCCAGAACGCATCGTCCATTCACACAACGCAATCCTCAACCTATTTACGCGTGAGCGCTGTCCCTGTCCGACTCGGAACTATCCCTCCTCCCGTCCATCCGTCCCGCATCCCTCACCCGCGTCCGCTCCTCTTCGTCGCCTCCAGACCCCCATATCAGATCAATATACAGACTCGGCTTGTACTCGTGCTTCCGTAGAATATAGCGCCTAAAGAGCCACGGTAAGTACTCGACGGCTTGGTGCTTGACGAACTGCCGCTTCGACACGGCAAAAACGAGATCTAGGTCTTCCAGGCTGCGCCTCTTGGTCTCCTCCAACAGCAAAAAGACCATGACTAGGGCCAGGACGTTCAGCCCCGCAAAGAGGTACAGCGAGCCGGCGTCGCCCAGCCCGGAGTTGATCCGCGGGAAGAAGACAGAGAGCAGACCGGCGAAGCCCAGGTTCACCGCGATGGCGACCGCAGCCCCGGCTTCGCGGTGCGATAGTGGGAAGCTTTCTGACGCGTAGGTGAACGGGATAGGCCCCAGCCCGGGCGAGTACGCGGCCGCGAACAGGAGGATGAATAAGGCGACCACCGGGACCTTGGCATTCAGGTTGTGGATGTTGAAGGAGACACCTGCGAGGAGCATGAAGAGTGCCATCACGGGTAGAGTCAATATCAGCCATTTCCGTCTGCCCAACGTATCGATCGTTCGGATGGCGGGTAGACCAAAGATGAAATTGACAGCTCCATAGCCTAGACTGAAGAACATGGCATCTCGCTTCTCCGCACCGGCACGACTGAAGAGCGTGCCCGAGTAGAAGGCCAGCACGTTGATTCCTGTTCCGTCAAGTTAGCGCGGCTCCCGTCTACACCTATCCAGACTTGAAGGGATTCGCATCTTACCACACAGTTGTTGGGCAAGCGCCACAGTCGAGCTACTAATCAACGCGTTCCTCAACCGCCTTTCAAGAAACAGCTGCCTCCACTGCCGCAGGAATCCCACCACGGTCGACACAAACCCTGGTATGTACTTGAGGTTCGCGCCCGGCACTTCCTCCTGCTCAATGGACTTGTGCACGAGGTAAATGTCCCGGAGAGCCTGCAGCTCAGTGTTCCTCAGCTTTTTGAGGATCTCGTACGCCCGTTGCGGGTCGTACCGCGGACTCGACACGCGCATCAGGTACCGCGGGCTCTCTTCGCAGAAACAGATGACCAGGACGAGCAGCGCGAGAGCGGGAACCATGGGCGCGCCCACCATGAGTTGGAAGGTCAGCCGCTTATTGCTCGCCGTGTCGAATACCAGGTTGAAGGCGAAGCCGACCATCAAGCCCGCGGCTACCCACAGCTGCCATGCGAGAATGGAGGTGCCGCGCCAGAAACCGACCGCTGTCTCACTGGCTAGGATAGGAGTACTGACGGCCTTGAGTCCCATACCTGATCCCATCATTAGCATTGGTGATATCTTGAAAAGAAAGAGGTGTATACACTGACCTATTCCATTCACCAGCCGAATGCCAAAAAGATGTACCCAGTTCGTCGCGAAAGCCGAAGCAATAGAGCTGACCAGGATAAGAAAAGCAGCCACTACCATTCCCCCTTTACGACCGAGATAATGGTTCACCGGCAGCGCAAGAGGGCAGCCCAGCACCGCAGCAAATAAGAAAGGAGACGCATTTGCGGCTCCCAGCTTCCAGTCATCGATTCCTAATTCAGCGTGACTACCCGTCGCACTGTTGTCGTCTTTCTTGGCCGTCGTGTTCAAACCGAATTCCGTGTCATACAGAGATGAGCCGTTGAATGACGCTTGCACGTGGCCTAGAATGCCCGGTGAGCCCATGACCCCGAAATTGAGCCAAAAACAAGAAGACGGTTTGCCTACCTTGTAAGAACGCTGCAAGGGACACTGTGATGATGATAGTCCACATCCCTTTTTCGCTGAAGGGTACATCGCGTTCCCGAACAAGCGCCCGTTTCTCCTCCGTTGTCAGTTGAACAGGAAGCTCCTTTCCTGCCGCGTCGCTTGGGTTTCTCGCAACTTCGTCGTATAACTTGATGTCCTTTGCCACACGCGCGGCTCGTATCAAAGCTCCCTTGTCGACGTTCAGATACCTCTCTGCGAATGACGTGACATCTGCTTCCAGCTGTTCGTCGGTATAGTGAGCTAGAGAGATTTGAGTCAGCAAGAGGAACGTTCTGTAGAAAGGAAGGGGCCTTCGTGTCCAATGCCTAGAATGCTTGAAGATGGAGCTTACAGAGAGGGTTTTCAATTACCGCCCGGTCGTTGATATGTCGGTGGCGGGCTTGCTGTTTTGACACCACGTCATGACCAGAATGAGACTCGGCCTGACCGAGAGTATCGATATCAGACATGTTTTCAATATGATCGTTCTGAGAGATTATGGACTTAATTGACACTTATCAGCCATATCACGATAGGTAGCATTACGAGTAGCCAGTATAGGGCTGAGATCGGTCGCGAGCCAGGCCTATCCCGGGTATTAAGTGAACGGAGGCCAGACCTCTCAGTCATATAAGGCACCGTCATTATGGCTACCTATGTGAGCGCGAAATGGCACGAACCATGGCCCAAGAAGTGAGACCCCATAGCCCCCAATAGGATCGAGTGACGGCGTCCCGCATCCCGCGTCTCACTGAGACTTTGTCTTGCAGGCTTTCCTCGGCTGGCGTTGTACAATCAGATGGCAGCCCATGCACAGGCCCGTCATTTCCATCCTTCGAGCCAGCGATCGTCGTCCCGTTTACCTGTCTACTTGTGTATGCCAGATGCGGAGTAGAGGGAAGCGAGGGGGTATCTTGTCCCCCCATGTAGGGCTGTGAGTGTGGAGGCGAAGCCAAACCTTTCCACCTCCCTGCCATCCACCTTCCCATCAGGCAATGGAAGGAGCCTTGAGTGGCATATTTCAGATTGACCGCAGTGTTGCCCTTTGGGCCACCGGGAAAAACGTGCTAAATTATCGAGATATCGGGGGGTTACATTGACCAACGAGACGAACTCTTGGGATTTTAATGTGTCATTCCGAAGTCCTTGAGTCCTAGAGAAGCCTCATCTCGGGCACTCACAACTGATCTCACCCGCAGACGCTGAGGTTCTTGTACTCGAATCCCGAATACGGAAGGAAGCTGCAGATGTACGGCACCAGGCAGCACTTGAACTGTGGCTTTGCCCAAGCCAATGGACGTCCACAAGATGAGTTTGGGGCTGCAAGGTGCAGATCGCCCAGCCATCCTGCTGTCATCACTATGTCTTGCTTATGAAGAATATGGATATTGTTCATCGCCTGGTATCCTGCTGCGCCACAGACGCGGGATACAAAGTCGGGGTGAAGCTTGGCAACCGGGGTTCAAGTGGAATAAGGCTACTGCATCAGATCCCACGCTACGGAGTAGACCCCGGTCCTGCGAGGTTCCCCGCGGGGGCCCGGTGTATAGAGTCGAAGGGTGCTATCCAAGTGGGCAGACAGAAGCTCCAACGTTGGGTCGATTGCGGAGTGAGACAATGGCATCCAAGGAGGACACACTCATCGAGGGGCCCGCAACACAGGGCCAGCTGAACTCTGGGTTGGACTGACTGCGGCAGCAGCCTGCCCTACGCTCGTGATATGTCCCTTCGTGGCTATGCCCCCCAGATTGACGGCAGCGACTTTTTGTCTCGGCGACTAAGACTCATTTAGAGGGTAACATTTGTCGATCGCGGGGACCACAGGCATACTTACCTCATCGACGGATGGAAGAGGGTGTTCACTGCCTGCCCCTTCCCTGCTCGTTCTCTACTGTGTGTCTTTCTTTCACCCAAGTGCTTGTCGACTTTGCACACTGAGCTCACCCACAACTCCATAACATGTTCATCGTTCAACGCTCGAGGACGCTTTGTATTGATTACCGCGAAGTCAATGGACGCGGCTGCCGCTCAGGCGACTGAGAAGAACCAGAGATTCGAATAACAGCGCAGCGAAAAAAAACTCGGATCAAGATGGATCCTCTTTCGATTGCCGCCTTTGCTCTGCAGATGGTCGGGATAGCCGGCAAGATCGTAGAAGGCACGGGCAAGTTCGTCCAAGAAAGCAAAGCCATCTCCTCGAGCATCTGCGAATTCCACGAGACCATCCGGAACCTACACGCTGCGCTGCGCAACGTGGCTCGAATCCTAAAGCAGCACCCGCATCAGCTTTCCTTTGAGAGAGAGCACCACCAAGATATTTACCAAATTCTCAAATCATGCCGTTCATCGCTTGATAGGCTGCAGAAAGAGCTGCCGGAGCTCGACGACAAACCGGGTCCGATTGATAAAGCTAGGGCGAGCTTTACCATGACGTTGAAGTCGGTCGTGATTCGCGATCTGGTTTCTCACATTACGTCGTATACACAAGTGCTTCAACTCAGTTTGATAACCCTGTCTCTGTACGTGAACCCCCTTAAGTAGAATACTCTTGGTTGATAGGATGACTGACTGTAGAAGCGGCTCATTATGGACTCAACAAAAGTCTCAAGACCAGGTGCATGTTGCAATCAGAAACTTGACCGACGAAATTCGAGCCGCGAACCTCATCTCACGTACGGGCAAAGGCCAACGACGACCATCAAATGAATGGGACGACGAAAGTGACACAAGGTTGGATGAATCTAATTCAGTCACGAGAGAGATCCAAGCCTGGCGAATGTCAGCCGACGAAGTGGCAGCCGCAGTCACTTTGCAAAATGCAGACCAACACCACTCGTTCCTGTCATTTAACTCGTCGTACACCAAGTTAGCATCGGGAAAGGACCAGGACTCTAAACAAGCGTCAGGTGACGTTGATTCGGACGATTGGGACCCTGAGCCCGAACATCCAGATGGACCAAGCAAAGACATCCTCAGCCACCAGTACGACGCGAACCAAGAAATAGTCGACCGCTTGGTAGACTGCGGTATATTCCTCCGAGCTTCGCTATATCAAAAGAGGGGCATCGAGATCCGAGAACAGCTTAGCCAGCCAGGATACGATGTCGACTTCAGCTTTGCCGAACAAGCAGTCATGAATGAGCGACTCGCTGATATCCTGTTAAGAAGTGAAACAGGAGAGGAGATCGTTGAGGCGAAGGGTATTTTGCAGGACCTGCTCCAGGAAGAGGTGAAACAGCCCGAGGAGTTTCGGGATGACGAACGGCGAAGTCGTTTATATCACGACCTCGGGAGCCTCTACATCAGACTCGGTAATCTGAGACAGGCAAAGACGTTTCTGAGTCGGGCTCTCGAAGGCCGGAAGAACCAAGAGCCCATCCCAGTTGAATTAGTGCAGGAAACAGCAGACTTGTACATCAAGGCTCTGCAACTCGACGGGGCATTTGACGAAGCGCGCGGTGTGGAAGTCTGGGTCAACACCGTCATCATCCCGCTGACGAGCCGTCCGGCGTCGCCTCCTGATTCAGACTCTGTACCAGACGCCAGGAGACCTTCCTCTATGGGCGAGCTTTCCCAAGCTTTTCAGTGGTGTCGCGAAAATGGGTTTGACATTGATGTCCCGACTGGCTTCCGCTTCGATACTTGCGACTTCATGACACGAACTTCGCCGCTCCACAAAGCCATCCAAGACGAGAATCTCGAAGTGTTGAGGCAAATGGTGGGACATGTAGTCAGTCTCGAGAACGGAGGCAACGTTGGTCTACCGACGCCCTTGCTGCTTGCCGCATCAACCAGGAACCGTGACAGCGTCGGGCTGTTGTTGCAGACGGGCGCGCGGGCCGACGTTCGCGATAGTGCTGGTCTGAGTCTCCTGCACCGATGCCAGAACAAATCCGGCGGTGTCAATGCTGCCCGACTTTTACTCAAGGACACCCCCAACCTCTTGGACCTCATCGATAATTCAGGAAAGACGGCACTGTACATGGCGTGCGAGATGGGGAATGAGACAATGGTTCGGTTCTTGCTTGGCGAGGGAGCCGATCCAAATATCTGCCATCAGACGAAGAGATCGCAGACGTCTTCTTCCCCCTACCTGAACAACAACAATGTGTGCACTCCTCTGATTGCTGCGATCCAGGTGGTGGCAACCAAAAGCTCCCGCAAAATCGGCATGATCGAAGTGCTCCTTTCCCACGGCGCGGATCCTCGCTTGACCGATGCCAACGGCAGAAACGCTTTCCAGGCGGCTTCCAACTGCGGACTGGCTGGGTCGGAGATCAAGCGACTCCTTCAGCAGTATTCGCAGACGTCGACTCGAAAGTCTAGTGATGCATCCACATCGACCATCTTCACTAGGTCATCGACTTCCAGTGACCATGTGTCTCATGGATCGAGCCGGAGGAGCACCCTCATGAGATTTTGGAGCAAGTCAGAGTCTTCTCATTCAGGTGTTGGTTCGGTGCCGGAGGGGGAATAGTGGCATGTTTCTGGAGCAGTGACTGTCGTGTTGGATCTGTTCTTGTCTAGATACCCTTGCTTTGAAGACGTAGGTGTGAACTTTTCATAGCGACTTGATTGTAGATTCCGGAATTACGAAGCCAATGATATAAAGGAGAACACCCTGAGGATACTGGCGCATGATGACGTAACTCGAGCCGAGTACCAGATTATGTTGTGGTCGATCTCGTGAACGTATGAGATCGAATTATGAAGCGGACTTAATGTTGCATTCCATACTTTCTTGACATTATTCGACAGTATAAGTCTCGATAGTTCAACGATGACAATATGAGCGAAAGGGGATGTTCACTGTAGCTTAACCAGAGGTGGCAGTCTGAAGTACGGTATACGTTAGGTCTATCAGATGTCGGAATGAAATTGATGGTGTATGTATGGCATATGAACAAGGCATTTCTTTCTTCTGACATTGTCATGTCATGCTGGTGTTGTCCTGGTACCAGCGTCTCGGCTGCCTCATATAAAAGTGCCATCTCACTACTCAATAATCAAGTATATGGACATAACTGGGAGTACCGGTCCACTAAACCCTCTAAGCAGCCTTGGCGATTCAATGTTCCTATCCAGTTGCGGCAGTGTTATATGGTGATGTTAAATATCCCGGCAAGAGAAGGAGAGAGAGACTCACACCTTCCCATGGCCCCATGAGACAGGGAGAAAGGAAGGCCCTCAAGGTATCCCGCCCACCTTCCATCCGAATACACGAGAAGGGTATATACCCCTCTTCATTCCAATTGCTGTCACTAGCACAGCAGGCGCCCTCTAGGTCGGGGGTCAGGTCAAACTGTGGCGTGGGTGGTGGAATGGTTAACGGTCGACAATCAACTATCTACACCAACCAGCCTACTCGACGACAGGCTAAGCGCATATGAGAGTACCCGAGTTCGAATCCCAGCATGAGCACCAAGAGATGTAGCACCCAGTTCAGCATCGAGGGGGGTGAACTCTTTTTGGTTGGTGAGGGTGATTTGTATTATTGCCGTTGAAATGGAAATTATGTAGAAACTACACAATTGTTCTGTTGGCGAGCACTATGCCATCGTTGCTCAAAGCAGTTTCATTGAGATATGTATACTTACGGATGTACATCTCATATACACACAAATCATATTTCTAGCAATTAAAACACACCATTGCTTGTCCATATAAATCCTGTTCCATTCAACCTCTACTCGGAAATGATTTGTGTTGGAGTCAACTTATTCAGTCGGCAGACTACGACCTTGAATGGTAAGCTGCCAATCAGCCGCTGAGGCTATGCATACCTCTTGCATGATTAGCCGCCTGACCTCATCTGACGTGCAGCCAACGTACCGCCTATTTGCACTTACCTGCTCACTTGAATCTTGCAACAATCTCATGACACTTAGAATCATCATTCTCATTAGAACTTGAATTTTTATCAAAATTTGATGAGGGGTTACACTACATTCATCATGGCAGAATGGCACGACCGGTCATGCCGCCGCCTAGACGTCTTCACCAGCGGCGGCATCTCCAGTTGCCTCAGCTGCGGCTCCATCCAACTCGACCTCGAAACACCACCCTCACCACCAGAAACACAAGACGAAAACATAACAGACACCGCCGTCTACAGGCCCTTAGAATCCCAAACAGACATCCGCCTCCTCACCCTGGAGCCAGGGGAATTCGCAGACCCCATCAGATGCACCCTCGCCCTGAGCAGCACCGCCAGCATGATAGAATACGACGCAATCTCCTACACCTGGGCGAGCGAGAACGGCGCCATGGCCTGGACGCAGCCCATCACCCTCGACGGCCGCGCCTTCCTCGTCACGGCCAACTGCGAGACGGCGCTGCGGCGCGTCCGCAGCCGCGGCGCCCAGAGGGTCGTCTGGATCGACGCCGTCTGCATGAACCAGCAGGACGTCGAGGAGAGGGGCCACCAGGTGCGTCTGATGCCGCAAATCTACTCCCGCGCACAGCGCGTCCTCGTCTACGTCGGGGAACCGGTGCCCGCGGAGGAGGCGCTCTTCCGCTTCTTGGATGATCGGGACACGACGACCCCGAACCTGCCTCGGCGGCTGTCGCTCCAGCAGGCGTTGGAGACGCTGCTTACACGGCGATACTTTTCTCGAGCGTGGATTCTTCAAGAGGTGGCCCTGGCCAGGCGGGCGACGTTGATCTGCGGGCGGTACGCGATGCCCTGGTCACGGCTCCAGATCCCCTCGCTGGCGGATCGGGGCTTGCTCATCAACACGAAAGAGAAGCCGCGGCTGCTGAACGTGCTGCAGCTGCCGTCGGTTCTGCAGTTTCGCGCGCCGACGTACAGGGACTCGAGTGACCTGCTCCGGCTCCTGGACCTGGCGCGCAACAGTCATGCGTCAGATCCAAGGGACAAGCTGTTCGCCGTGTATGGGCTTATATCTTGCGCGCAGAGCGATGGGATTGTAGCGGACTATACGATGTCGACGAGGGAAGCGTATATGCAGATGGCCAAGTGGATTGCGCAGAGGTTTGGGATCCCGGCGTTGCTGCTCAGGGCCTTTCACGTTGACGAGGTCGACGATGAACTGGATGAGGTGGATGAAATGGGACAACAGGAAGGAGTTCACGGCTTACGTTGCGGGGCAGAAAGAAGAGTACCAGGACCTTCACGTATATTTAACTCCTCAGGCGGCCGAGTACGGTGAATTTTCCTTCGAGGAGCCAGGTGCCGTGTCGGTCTGTGTTGACAACCTATCATGCGTGTGGTTGCACGATGACCTCAATAAACGGATGACTCAGGGCCGGTTTAGCAAGTACGCGATCTGCGCCAGAGACCTGGGTCGTGGAGATATTCGCATCGCCGGGTTGTTGCACATGGACGGGCTTATGGACGGGCTCGCGCATGAAGGCGTTTGGAAGAGTGGCCAGTTCGAAAATGTATCCATGGTCGGCGAAGATCTTGGAGCTTTCCCGGCGCGAGGTAATAAGCCCAGGCGCAGCGCATATTATTGGGAGCGTGAACAGGAACGCGTACAGTCAGGCCGAATTAGAGAACTCGAAGGTGCGGATGCGGCAACTGCAACAAGTGACCCCTAGGTAGGTCGAGAAATTCGTCGGAGGTTCCAAGCAGACGGAAGCATTCGATGCCCTAGAAGTGAGGTTTCAAGAACATTATCACCATTCTCGTTGGAATGAAACAATGCGACCCGGCGGAAGTTATCGGAAGGTTGAAAGCCGCCAATTCGCAAAAGGAAGTAGTAATTGCCGCCATGATAGGTCGAATCGGGAAAGGAGCTTGGGCCAGTCGCAAAGAGCTCTGGACCATCACGTTGACGCCAACCGAAATGACGGATTGAAAATTTTTCCTCCTTTGTTGAACTGTTGAACGCCATGACAGCCTCGCTCGGACGGTTATGTGGTTCGGGGGTTGCAATGGTAAACGAGGTTGATGCAGTGATGCCTAGGGGTTCGTTCGACTCGGTACTGGAGCCTGCAATACGGGCTCCAAGGGGGAAAACGAATAGTCGCAAGGAACTCGTATGCACGTTGGGCCTCGTGTCTGCGTACGTTCCGAATGGCTGGTAGGGAAGCCTGGATTTTGCCTAAGGAATGGAACGTCGTAGCGAGTCTAGCGAATTACTAGAAGCTTTCCAAATGCAACTCATTCCCGGCCGAAACTTGAATAGCCGTGGACGTTCTTTCTGGCGGATGTATTTCTTCGGGGTCGCCTGCAGTCGCCTGGACTTTCCTCCTTGTCGCGCCCGATGGTTATTTCCGCGGTTGCTTCCAGTGTTGGTGCCTCAATGCAATCCCGGAAGGGACCCCCGGGACTTGCAGCTGTGGCAGGTGTGTGTGCAACAGTGCAACCTCTTGGGCATGTGGCGCCTCAAGTCGATCCCGTTCCTGCCCGTTCATCGATTCTCGGCGCGCTGGGCGGCATCGGGTGTTTCGGTTGATGATGCAGCCACCGCGGAATAAGCATGGAGGCATGAGCCTAAGGCGACGACATGCCGCCGGGCGGCGCCTGCCTCTTACCTAAGATATCTTAGGCCGGCAAGAGACATGGAAAGGGAAGGGAAGGAAATGGCAATGACAGGAGCAACCGGCACGACAGGAAGGAGAGAAGGAAAAAAGGGCCTAGGCTTCTAGGACAATGAAAAGGAAGGAATGACAGGACGAGTAACCCTAGCCATTGCCCTCGAAAGGGACGATACCTACCTACCTAAGGTAGGGTAAGAACCTACCTTACTCCGTATACGTATCTGTATTGCCTGAGGTGAAGAACCTCCGAACTCCCGTGACGCTGGAGGAAAGGAAGGAGCTTATGGGCTTTTTTTTTTTTTTTTTGGCTTCGCAGTCATCTGCCCCGTTATCGCACCATGACACCGTCAGCTTCCATCATCCATCATCCCGAATACCACCATCATTGAGCAATCAATTGACGCCACCTGGTCAAGTGGCTCAACAATCTTCCGCGTCTTATCAGTCGGCATCATCAAAGATGGTCGGTACAAGCAAACACCATTGCTTTTTGGTCGAGAGTTCCAATTTCAGATACGATCGGAATGTCAGACTCGGACACATGATTCAGAAGCACAAGCTCTAGCTCAGTCACTGCCTGCCAGGCCCTCGACAACACCATTAGCATTGGTGCAGAAGACACACCCCCTGACAGAGACAGAGACAACAATGATGCGTCATTTTTGAGGCTCTGTAGCCTCAGGCATGCGCCATTAGACAATGGCAGCGAAGCGGAATGGTGAGCGCCAACGGTGCGTTTCGGCGTTTCTTCTCCCTCAAAGCTTGCGCTTGCACTAGCAACAGCAGCTTGGCTGAGAGTAAAAATTTTCTCCCGGCGTCGGCCTCACCCCCCAATGGTTGGACGGAGGGCCGTACCTCACAGGCTCATCCTGGATGCCTCACGGGTGAAGCTCAACCGTAAAAGGTACATGGCCTCCGAGACATGGCGGACCCATGCATCATTTCGAGCGACCTGCGTATCGCGTACCGACAGCTGGGATTGACAAACGCTAGATTTATGTTTGACGCTGAATCAATCTCGCAGATACTCCTTTTGTGGATCCCGACATTACGGTCACGGCGCTGCGGTCGCACCCATCTCGGCCATCTCAGACACTGGGACCTCGGACGTCGGCTCAATGGAGCGAACTTGTCTCCCATTGGCAGATGAATCGCCACGTCCGTCGGCCATCGGTAGGGCCAAGCTGTCCAGCAACGAGAGAACACTGCAGCGTCCCTCGGAGCGCTGCGAGTGCAAGTGCACGCCAGCCAGGTTTCTGGGTGCTGCCGGGATCTCACGTAACACTCGTCTACTTGCAGTCGGGGGTGTAGGGAAGGGGCGTGTGTGCAGTCAGACGGCAAGCGTCCCTGACAGGAAACTGGGCTGGCCAAGGCATGTGTGCGTGCTTCGATTGACTTCATCCCATCTTCGCTGATGGTTAGGCGGCGGCATCGACTCGAACGAAAAAAACGAAAAGGTTGATAAGGAAATGGGAAGAGCAATGAAAAGAAAGGGAACGAGAAATGGATGAGAAGTGAAGGGAGGGAGCACGGCATGAAATGCAAATCGACGCAAGCGACAAAACGGAAGGAGACCTTGGACCAACTCGCTATCTCCCCTTCAAACCACGATCCGTCTCACCGCGTCCCTTTTTATCTCTGGGACCAACGTTCCAACTCGGTCATCGTGTCCACTTCTTTTCTGGTGTTGACGCTTTTTTTTCCTGAGCTATTTTGTCGGGCCCACCCACGTGTGAGTGCAAGGCTGCGGTTGATTGGACCTAGGCGCCTCAGAGTGGGGGCCTTTGACGGTATCGGGTGGGGGTCACCGCAAGCCATGACCGGGCTGATATCAAAGCTGACATTTGGCGGCTTTTTCTCTCTCTTTTTTGCGCCGTGTGCCTGAGGGAAAGTGTTTTTCGAGAAAATTTTCTTTCGCCATGGGACTTCCATCCAGGCTCAACCCGTGTGTTTCCGGCACCAACAGCCTCTTATCTCGAAAGCTTCAGCGAACTTGAGGTGGTCTCTCTCCGTTAAGCCAAGGTGCTTGGAGCATGGACATTGCGTGCTCATGCCGTCTCAAAGACTGAGTTGGCAAACGCTGGACCTACATGTTGATTATCGATTAGCCGGCCGTAACGGACTCAACCTTGCGGATTCTCCTTAGCCTTGATACCGCAACCCACTTCTCATGATTCGTGTTCCTGGCCAAGGGGGCATATCCAGCAAGCACACACTCCGTACGCCTCAGGCACGGTCAAAGGGCCCCAAGATCAACCATCTCTCAGACTCTCCCTCTCTCCGTTCAGGGATCCCCTTCGCCGTCCAGCCTCCCGACAATGCCCGAGATCGGTGCGAGGGCGTGTATGTTGGATCTCTTTGGTGGATGGAGGTCCACGATATGTCAACGACCGCTCAAGTCTAAACCTGATTGGGACGCCTCGTCCATTGCGAATCCGTCCCCAGCGCCCACCGATGTCTAGTGAATACACAAACGGTACGGATACTCACCAGTTTCTGCCGTCTCCTGTTTGATCCGATCCCACACGCATCCTGAAGAAGCCTCAGGCTCATCATCTCCAGCGTGGAACCTGAGGCCTGGCTGGCGAGCCATCTGGATCAACTTCCGCCGTCCCGTTGCCCGGGCCCCTGCCCTCCTCTCTCTACCGAGCTTGCCCGTCACCTGAGCGAGAGCTTTTCCCTTCCGAACCTGCTTTTGAGCTTTTTCTCTCTCCTCCTTCTTCCTTCCACTTTACCTACCTCCATCCCAATCTGTCCTTGTTTCCTATCTTCTCTTCCTCCCAGTCCATCACCGTCTATCCCACAATCTCCCCTCACATCAGTCACAATGGCCTCCACTCGTGTCCGCGCCTCCAGACTCGCCACTCAGATGGCCACCAAGGCCGCCCGCCCTGCGGTGCGCGTCTCTGCCATGCCCAAGCGCACCATCACTGGTAAGTCTTGAAAATTTAGTTCTCGTCGAGAGAACGGAGACGAAGGGAGGAAATGGGAAAGGCATCGAACAAGAAAGAAAAGAAGAAAAAGACCGACGCCGACATCGAAGCCAATGATCAATCACATCAATTGGACTCGCGGCAACGATCCGATATCAACGATGAGTTCGATATCGTCGCCTTCCCACCTCCCCGTCGAGAAAACAAGACATGAGAGAACCACGATTGTTCTGACATTCGATTTGCGAAATTTTCAGGCTTCTCCAGCCCCCTCCAGGCTGTCAAGCGCCAGCAGGCCACCACCATCAAGTCCTCCAAGGTCTTCACCCAGGTCCAGGCCAAGCGCGCCTACTCTTCTGAGATCGCCCAGGCCATGGTTGAGGTCTCCAAGAACTTGGGTATGGGTTCCGCCGCCATCGGTCTTACCGGTGCTGGTATCGGTATCGGTCTGGTCTTCGCCGCCCTCCTCAACGGTGTTGCCCGCAACCCTGCCCTCCGTGGCCAGCTCTTCTCCTACGCCATTCTTGGTTTCGCTTTCGTCGAGGCCATCGGTCTTTTCGACCTCATGGTTGCCCTCATGGCCAAGTTCGTACGTCATCACCAATCCACCCGCTCTCATCGAGACTCATTGAAGCTAACAATCACGATAGACGTAAGCGATTTACTTCGCACTGGCGAGCTGGGGAGAGGCAAGGAGACAGTTTTCGGACGGAGCTGTGCTCTCTTGACCGCCATCTCCTCTTGGGACAGGTTCGCCTATGGTTACGCAATGGAGCATCATCCACTCCACACTGCGTGACGAGCTAGAGTTAATAGACGGGATAGACAGCATGGTGGGCATTTTAGACGATTAGAGGTCATAGACCGCACGGCTCTGCTGTGTTGTATAGATGGAAATTGGTCTGTGGCAGGGACGAGGTAACGCACTACTCTTACCAGCGAAAAAGTTTTGCATCTCCCCATCTTTTGCTTCAGCCAGCCTACCCCCGTGGCTCCTGGCCCTGATACAATTTTTTCTGTAAAAATACTACAAACCTCAAACTGATGATCACCGACTTTGATGACTTTGTGAGGCAATTGATGAATTTTTGAGCACTGGACATGAGATCATGAGATCAGGCAAAAATTCTCCGTACAGCCCGGCAATCAGCACAAATCTCACCGCCCGAGAGCGTTCGTTCAGGTACTTCATCTCCACTCTGGGGAAGGGGCCAGTCTACGGAATGCCAGAGCTTGAAGCTTCCCGAGATCTTTCGAGGTCGAATTGGCCAATGTGAGATGAGAATTGGGTGAGCTTCACTCGAGCTACCTAGGTAGGTAGGTTTTTTTGCGGGTGTCCTCCCGTGCCTGGCGGCGGGAAGCCAGCATGCCATCCCCACGGGGTTTTTTTCTCACACGAGCGCAATCACGCACCATGCCATGCCTATCCTGCCCTGCGCCTCTCCTCTCTCTCACTTATCAATCTGCTGGCTTGTTCACCACTAGGCTCAGTGACTTCACTTTTTCTCCATTGAACGCGGAGTAGATATCTTGTCGCCCGTTCTTGATCTTGTGTCCTGACACTTGAGGCTGCTTCCCCAGGGAAGGAGGCTGATGATGATGATGATGCCATACGGGAAGACGAGCCACAACCGCTGGAGACACACCTCTTGATATGACAATCAAAGGGCCAGACGGCCACCGTCACTTCTCATCACTCCGCTTCTCACTTGAGCAGTCTGACCCATCGAACAAGAGCACTGTTGCTGTTCCCGCCGTACTGCCATTGACGCTGCCAACGATAGTCTGGTCCCTTAGTGACCCAAGCCCGGAAGAAAAAAGCTCGGTTTCCGAGTGCTCCGCTCGACCTCGACGTATGTCCTTATCGTCGAAGCATGGCTCCGAGTCGTGCGTCCGACAGCGCTGTATCCGCAGACTGCCAGACGGGTAGACTGAGGAACACCGTCACGGAGACACTCACACGCCCCCTCGGCTCTCTCACACACCTCCTTTCTGGACGACGAACGGCCGTCTTGTTTTGGTAGTCTCTGTGTCTTCCCTCCCCACTCCCACCCCTTCAAACCGCGACGAAAACTTTCGCCGTCGTAGGCCTGACACCAAGCTTGAGCTTTGAATAAAAGCTTCAGGAAAAGCTAGAAAAGTACAGATGAAATCAGATAAGGCATGTGAAGGCCATTGACAATGGCGATGAGAATCTTGAACCTCGCAATTGACTTTTTTCCATTATCCCCATGCGCTCCTTCTCCCGATCTCGATCACATCTCCTAGGTGGCAAGGCACCTAACCTGGCCTCTCGGCTCCCGCAGACCAGCGTCTCCCTCTCACTCGAGAGACGAGACAAGCGCGAATATCCATCCGTACGCTGTAATTGTCCATTTCCGTACTGATCACCGTTTCATCGCAGCAGTACAAAAAGGAAAAGAAACAAGTGTACTTAGTCTCTTGCTGCTCTTATCGCGTGCACCTCTTTCGTGCGCGTGTTCCCACCCGTGGCACCCCCCCTTCCCTTCCCCCTTCACCCCGAGCCACGATCATCTTTCACCCCCGTTTTCTTTGCCCCCTTTTGGGATCAGCTTTGCGGGTCCAGCGTAAAGGTTTCGACGGTCAGGCGGCGCTGCGGGATTGGACTTTGAACTTGTTAGAGGGTCCACAGAACAGTAATGGCATCATGGATTTTCTGTCCCGTCCAAGACCAATTCCCATTCTTGTCACCGTTTTCGTTCGTATCCACCGTATTTTGCGAGGTTAGCGGGCGGTGTGGTCGCCTGGTCAGCATGTCGTGATGTGCGTCAATTTGGCTCGCAGTTTTTGCACCACCCGACGTTGATTTTGAGATGGGATGTCGTTGGAGAGATTAAGTAATCCTTCCAACCCTTTATTTTTTTCTATTTATGACGAACCCAGCTGTAGGGTAATGGCAGGTTTCCCCTCACGCGAACCTCGTTCGACTTTTTTGAGACCTGGGCTCATTTTTGGCTGTCCTTCTCCAATTCGGAGAACCGAGGGACTGGCGAGTGTAACGGCGTCGCGAAGAGCCGAACTGCAGCAGGAGCAAGCGAGGTGTGCAGGAAAAACAGGGCAAACACGCAGTGACACGGTACCTGATAACCTGACCCACTCTTTGCCTTTTATGGATAGGAAGGGGAATGGGCGTGGGGGGGCCAAGAACCGGAACGTCTGTTCCTCGGCTTCTGGAAGTCTGTGAGGTGTTGATGGGATGTGCTTTATTTTGACGATATGGTTCTGGTGGTATATTAGGCATGGGAAGCAAATGGAAGTAGAAGGTCGTCTCCTAAGTGCGCAGTAAGATGTTGAAGATCTAGTAAGGGTATTCACGCAACAGTCTCGAAAGCTTCCTGTAGTAACGCGTGAAAATCTACCCCAATGCTACCCAGGACACGACGAATGCGCTATGAAGCCTCTTGATCCAACGGACCAACAACGGCAACGGTGTTATCTCATCACGTTGTTCCGTTGCCCTTTACCCACCAGAAAACGGAAGACTCGAGGTCATCATATCGAAAGGCCCCCGCCCCCCATGGGGAAGCAGGTCCCGCAAGTTCACTCAGCTGATGTGGATGCCCCTGCTAAGGGATTTAGCTTATCAGTCATCGAGCCATCTGTATGAGATGACTCGAGCTCGGGGCTGTCGGTGGAGAGATTCGTCGGCTGTCGTCTGCGTTGACAATGCTTTGTTGTAACTGACCGACAGAGAGCAGAGTCTTTTGGTCTTGATCGTTGATCCGCTTGCTCGAGCCTGGAGTAGAGTGCGCGAAGTAGGCTTCGAGTAGAGAGTTGCTACGACCGCTGTGCTCTCGCTAGTGTTGTCGACGGCTTGGGACAGAACCTGACAGTTGTTCAAGCTCTGTCATGTAATCTTTCCCAATTTAAAGATGACCCCGGGCTACAAGCCATGAGAAGCAGACAGATCCGGGGGGAGGGGGGAAAGCTGTTCTCGTCTCTCCCCTAGGATGACAATAGCTTCAATGCGCCGCACGCATGTCTGATGAAGCTTTCCGCGTGGGCCTTACCTTGGCTGTCGTAGACTCATTTCGCTTATGCAGATTATGAAACCCAGAGAAAATCAATTGGTTATTAAGAAGCAGAGCGATGTTCAAGACTGGGACCAAAAGGTTGGCAATTGCCTCAGTTGGGTTCAAGACCCATTATGGAACATAATTTCGCAATTGTCACTCTCTGTAGGAGTTATATACTGGGAAACCTCTGGGAGCATGCCTGCGCCAACATTTTAGTCCACAAGAGAGCAAGCTTGATAAGCTATACGCTCTCTGGAATTCTTCGGTGATTTGCATACTACAGATTCAGAACAGGAGCTTCGTCGTGCTGATTGGCTTCAAGTTCAATGCAAGCCTTGTAAAGAGCTAGACGACCTTTGTAATGGACAAGGCGGTAATAGAACCAGTAGTAGGAGAAAGGCCAGACCCTTCCATTCAGAGGATCCCACTCAGCACGCGGTGGTCAAGAGTAGATCTGATTCCCTATCTTATTGTGCGCCCGTTGGGTAATATGAGACAACTCTGCAACAAACCGTCGAAGGATGGCTCTGGAAGCAAAGCAGAATATAAGGCAACGAGACTGTGTCGTACAAGACGGGTGACTATGTGACTGGGTGACTTCCTTCGTCTACCTATTGAACCTCTCCTATTGCAACACGGTCGAGTGCTTACGTTCAATAACTCAAAAGGCAAACCACTTCTGGTAACCCCCAAACTTTCATGCCGCTGTGCTATAAATGCCCTCTGAAAGAAATAATTTCTAAGGCAATGAGAAGAATCCGGGCATAATGTGTTATTCCATGTCCCACGAGTATGTAGGAGATCTCAGCTCGGTGACTCAACTTGCATGTATTCCGTCATAGTGAGCTGATGCCAATTCGCTCATTTAGATCCCAAAAACATTACCAAGCTTCATCAGCTACAATATATCGTTCAATACTCATCATCAACCTATGATGACGTATACACTTTTGGATAAGACCAAAGTGCAGAGAGAGACGGGGCAAATACGCTCTGTTATCTTGCGTACCCCAAATTGGGGTCGAATTCCGTACCCGCGACTCAATGACCGCGGCAGGGAATAGCAGCACCATCAGCACGACGACAACGCTAACGAGGACAACTTTTATGGTCCCTTCCTCAACCTAGACGACGAGCCCGAGCCCCTGGCCGACGGGGTCCGGCAAGAAGCGGAGGCATGGAGAGGGTTTGTCAGTCGCGTCCTGGCGATGCCAGTCCCACGTACGGCCCCAATGCGCTTCTCCCGCCGCTGGAGCCGGACTGTAATATCAAGAGACGCTACGACGGACGAACGTGGCTTCGAAGACGAAGGCCAATCCTACGAGAATGGACGCAAGACTACCACGAAGAGATGTTCAGGACAACGCGGTCAACCCTAAAGCTCAATTCGAAGGGCAAGACTGGACTAGTCTCTGCTGCGGACTTATCCTCTACATCTTCGAAATCTATGCCCTTGAGCCCTAAGCTCGAGGAGGGAAGAGGTCGAAGGGGTTTGAAAGCTCACGACAGCGACCCCAATACGGCCCCATCTAACCAAGCTACGCGGCGGGTTCGAGGATAAAATCACACCGACGCTATATCAATGACATGAAGGTCGTGCATATCTCTAGTATCTAGCACGTACATAAAAGCCGCGCAATGTGACCTGGCTCGCACGTTTCAATGTAATCACCGACCTCGTAGATATATACCACGCCAGCTTTGAGTCCCAGCGTCCCAGGCACGCCAGCTAGATATAATACCGTCGAGAAGGGGCAAGCCAGACTTTCGTATGAATGGCACAAGAAACCACCACTCCCCCTTAATCCACACAAACTCAGCCAACAGAAACCAAGGAACCTCCTCGCCCTACTCTCATTCCTTACCTCCGCCTCCTCCGCCTCCCAAACATGAGACTGTACCTTATAATCCCCCTCCGTCCCAGCCAAAACCACCATCAGCGCCTCATCTGATCACACGCCTGCTGTGGCCTCGCGGGATCCGGTGAAGCAGGGACGGAGTGTCTCCAGTACACAGGGGATAACAAAACGACGACAATGATGACTCGCGGTTGAGTCATAGCTTTTGGGGTTTGGGGAGGATCCGTGGGTTACTGGGGCTTCATGGAGGTAAGATGATATGAGACCGAGGTCAAAGATATAGAGAAAGTCTATCGGCCACACACATACATACACACACACACACACACACACACACACACACACACACACACACACATCACACATCACAAGAGAGCAACATCAACACAACAGGCCGTCATTCTCGCAAAAAAATAAAAAACGTAAGAATTTCATTATCTAGTGATGATACCTCGTCCTCCCCCCGCCCCCGATCCCCGTGGGATACCTTTTCCCATTCATCACAAACGGCACGGGCTTCCTACTGGGCTGCACCGTCGTGATGGCGTCCCACATCTGGCGGAAGCTCGCGCGGCGCGCGGGGAGCATGCTGTACTGCAGGCTGTACAGGTTCTTGCGGTTGAGCGGCGGGACAAACTTGCCCGTCACCAGGCAGAGTACGACCGTGGGCGAGAGGTAGTGCTTGCGGATGCGGTTGCCCATCTGAAAGTACTGGTGGAACATGGCGCGGAAGGTGAGGGGGATGGACTAGTGGGCGTGTCAGAAGTCGAGTTCGACAGGCAATGGTAATTGTGAGGGAGTTGGGGGGGGGGGTGCGAATACGTACCTTGAGGTAGATGACCGAGGTCGGTGGTTCGTTGGAAGCATTATTAAGTCTATAGTCAAGGGTATCTCGAAGTTCAAAACGGATGCCGCCTACTCCAAATTAGTCAGGTTCTTCTCATTGATGTGGAGTGATATTCACCTGGTAGTCGCCTCGGGTCTTTGACCCGCAACATCAGCGCAAAAAGGGGAAAGTGGTTTAGACAAGAGAGAAGCGTATCAAAAACAGCCTTTAGCGAAATGATGACCATTCGTGCGACGGCGAAGTTCAAGTAGAACACCACGACGGTCGGAAGGAGGAAGAAAAGTAGGGTGAAGAGGATAGTGCCCACGAGAAGCTGGTCCAGGTCGTAGTCGCACGAGTCGATACGGTTGCGAAGGACATTGTGCTTCTTGCCGCGGAACAGGTGAAAGAGCGAGATGAGTATTGTGAGTTGCCAATGGTAGATCCGGGCAGATGCCAGGTAAAAGGAGTAAATGTGTACGGTCAAGCTCGAGAGCAGGTCGGAGAACATGGCAATGGGCATGCTGGCGCCGGCAAAGCTGGAAAAGCCAATGAACCAGATAATGTGAGGTAATAAAGGCTGAAGCGTCGCGATGCAGTCTATTCAAGTCAGTAATGGTTCTCTCCAGAATTCCGGACGATGGCAAACTCACTTGACCAGTAATCAATGACCCAGAGGAAAAGGTCTCCTAGGAAGAGAGCCAACTCGCTATTCAGCTTCAAACCCGCAGGCCATCCCATTAGCCACGATATACTCCTTTGAAGCGCCTCGACCGTGTACACCCTCAGAAGCTCGCTGATTGCGTTGGCGGCCCACTCGGCGTTGTCAATGATATAAGAGCCCAACGCGATGCCAATAATGACATCGTTAGCAACGAGCCATAAACTGTTGTAGAAGCGTATGTAGTCAGGATGACTGGTCGTGACGCTCTCCCAATCATTCTTGCGCTGTCGCAACGTGGTGTACTGCATGGGCCAGTAGCAAAACTGCTGTAGTCGAATCTCTACTTGTTGCGCCGTTGCCGATATGTCCTTCAAAGCTAGGTAGTCGTCTCTTAGTCGGAATTCTAAGATTTGAAGGAGCAACTCGGCGACCGCCCTATGACCCATGAGCATGTAGACGAACCCCCATTGAATCAGCGGGAGCAGGTAGAAGATCAAGAGGTCCCAGACGAAATTCCGCATCGATGTTGCATGCTCCACCACTCGCTCCGAGACGCTCAGAGATCGCTTGGGTCGGGTGCCGATCCGGGAGATGTTCTTCTGCAACAGCTGCTCCAGCTCCCATGACCAATTAATTTGGTTCACAATCTTTGGCAGGGCTCTCTCCTTTGGCGACGGAGACCGCTTGATGATGGTGTGTTGTTTCAGCTTTTCCACCAGTTTTCTCTTTTCCTCCTTCACCTTCAGCTCCTGCCTCTCTTCTTCAGCCATGTGTTCTGTCGGCGGTAGGCCCGGAGCCTCCTTGTTCCCAAGCGCGAGCGAGATGGGGTTCAGCGAGATGTACTGCATCCTGCTGGGGCGCGGACGGTCATAGAGTATGATCTGTATGCTGAGGGCCTTGGCGCACGCGATTCGGGGCGACTTTGCGCCAGCTGGTGTGGTTGCGATAAAGAGGGAGGGATCGAGTACGACGGCTTCGCTAGGGTTCGTCAGACCGAGGACGTGCATCGCATTGTGGCCGCATCGTTCGTATATGCTATTGACGGGGTGAGGGGAGTTTCGAAAGAGGGTGCCGATCTTGAGGGCGAATTCGACATGGCCGGCCTGTAGATTGGTCAATTGGTGCACGAGCTGGCGGTCTAGGGGGGTTACTAACATCGACATCGTCGAGAATGGCCACGACGAAGACATCCAGGCTCGAGTTCCTCCATCCCACAACGACGCCAGGCAGGTCGGAGCGCTGGATGTCCGTCGGCCAGAATATCCTCATTAAACCGTCATTTTCTGGCATGTCAGCCGAGGGCAGCGCGGGAGACGGCGCTCAGAAGGAGCCTCTCCGTCGCAACTGTTCCCTGGCCGAGACGCCAGCTCCGGTGGATCGGGGGTGCTGTGTCGAGTCCGTCATTAGCCAGATGCTTCACAACCTACATGTCTCAGCGGGGGGATCGAAAGGGTTTGTCGTACCAGGTTCGCCTCCTTGGTGGCCAATCGTTCCACGGGGATGAATATGACGAGGTAGACGAAGGTCAAGAGCGCGAAACCTTTGGCGGCGCGTGTCTAGACATGGATGTTAGGGTTGAGAACGAGGCAGCGCATAGGTAGCTGGGCCCGAGAGAGGGAGGGAGGATCATCATACAATAACTCCGTAGTCCCAGGCGAAAATGGCAAGCTCATAGAGACGTGTGACCAGATCCCATCGAGCGGTGATGTAGCCAGCTACGAAGATCCCAAGGCTGAGAACCGAGAGGGGGTGCATAGAATCGTTATTCTCTTGGATAGTGCATGCCGAGGCTTGTCGCCAAGGAGAGGTACTGGTGTGTCGGGGCGGAAAGGACCTAGATTGAGCGTCGGACTGCAGACTCGGCGGCGGTGATTGCGGGACAAGCGCGGGGGGGAAGAGGGGGGTGGAAGCTTGGAAAGGATCGTGGGGTCGCAAGCTTGATTCGAGGTGTCTTGGAGAGCTTTTGGAGGAGGACGAGGGCCGGGCGAGGACTGGCTTGGTGCGATGATTCGAATCCGTTGGTGTAGCACCGCAGTTGGTGTCGTGTTGCTTTGCGCAAAGATGTTCCGGAGGGGAGGAAAAGAAGAAGACGGGACGTGGAGTCGTGGAGGGATGTGGGCGTGGATACTCTTGAGTCTCTGCAGTCTGGACGGCCGATGGAGTAAAGGTACTCGACGCGGACCTTGGAAGGGCACAAGACAAGATGGGACTAGAAACTATGTAGAGAGCCAGGGGACAAGCTTCACGCGCGCGTGGAGGGATGCGGTAAATCTGGGAATTTGCCATGTAATTATTGGAGGGACAGAACGGGGGGTACAAGAGGTTTGGCAGCTTTGGGGTTAGCTGAGGTGGAGGACGTCAAGACATCACCTCAGGTTCTGCCTCTAGGTACCTCAGGGAGTTAGTCCCTGTTGGTTTCTCTGCAGTGTACCGTCCAGCCTCCAGCCTAAGGTACATACGCATACAGGTCGCTCTGCCGCTAGCGAAATGTCTCGCTAGCGGGTCTCGCGTCCACTAAAGGAGACGGGAGATCTGGACATTTTCCAGGTTTGGCTCTACTCTGCAGGAGTCCTAGGAGTTCCTGCTGACCAGTGACCCGCGGGACGCTCTCAGAGGGTCTGACGGGGATGTGGGCGGTCTGGAACCTGGAACGAGCCCCCACTCTGCTTGAGCTTGGCTTTTTCATAGCTGGGACTGGCCCACCTCGGGTCCATGCTTCCATTTTTTTGCTAGGTTTTTTCCATAGGTAATAGTGACCCGGCGCGATCTGGTGAAAGTAAATCTACCAACATCACGTGGGCTGATGCATCACATCAAGGTACCTACCCAGAAGTATTCGGATAATTTTACACACGTTTTGTACTTCATATAACATATAGTTGTGCTCATATGTTGGAACAATTGGCTTTCCGTGTCCATCATGCAACTTGGGGGCCTCCTTGATCGTGCATCAAGTCGATGGAGACTTGGCGGTGATCTCAATATTGACACATGTCCGGCAATGAACCCACGTTACACCGTTTACTTGCACAGCCATCCAGAATTCCTTTCCTTCCCTTTTCTGTCTGGTTCGCGTTGCGGTTACTAAGGGACTACCAACATTACCTACTCTATGAGCTTGTGAGGTACCTGAGGTATCACCCCGTTGTCTGCATCCCAGGAGTTTCTCTCGGAGAGATTCAAGCTTACCTGAGAGTCTACTCAGTCCAGACGTTAGTGTCCACATCCAAGTCACCATTTGAATAGGTAGCTGGCGCGCAGACGCGTCATGGAAAAACCAGGAATAAACACATCATATTGGGAGATTGCCGTCCTTAAACACTGCCACATTGTGCCCAACAAATGCAACCTCGAAAAACGCCAAAGAAAACTAGCTTGCGAGATATCTTGTCCGGACCCGGAATGTCTCCTGCACAAGTGGTCAGATTCTCCTCTCCAAGAACACGTTGCAGCAACTGGGAAGCATTCTGACGCAGCACTCACATTTACGTCCCATGTATGTCGCATCGTTGTCTTTTTGGTCTTCCCGCGCCTCATCCAGCAGCTTGTCTATGCCGCGTTCCTTGAGAGCGACCTTTCTGCCAGTCAGTCATTATGTTCTTCCTCGTCGCTCACCCAAGCTTGGTTGTGAGTGCAGCCATCATCGTGGAGACGTGACCTACCGTTAAACACTTTTGGTAGTTCTTGAATAGATCGGCGCACTCATTGTTGTCTGTGCCGGTGCCTCTCAGGTACTCTCCATCCTGTCGTTAGATGTCTCCTTCGTCATCCATATCATGTGCAGGGAATCAACTTACTCTCACTGTACCATTTCAAGAAGCATGTATCGTAGCGCCTGTTCCAACAGAGTTAGCAGTCCGTTTGTGGATCGCTTCACAAGATCAATCACGTACTCCTTGACTTCATTGCATTCGGGGGCTAAAGACGCAGACATGATGGATGCTTTTCTGTTGACGGAACTCACGGAGGAGTGAGAGGTGAAGTTGCAGGTTGTGGCTAGAAATGGAGACAAAATCCTCACAGGGGCCTGAGTGCCTAAGGTCAGCGGCGTCATCCGCTGTAAGTCGAAGGCTCCCGTACCCAAGACTCTTGTCCCTTTCACCTTAAGGTACCCTCATCAGCTTCATTCTCTCTGGAAACAATTGCAACTTCTCAATGCCACTTAATTTTAATAGCAACACTGGTTTCCCGCGTTTTTCTGTCAGCATCGAATGATTTCGAACCCTTCATCATCATCACAATACCAATACCTCTTCCGTTCCTCGAAGCACAACCTCCGCCAAGCATCGAGGTCGCTTATCCATGCGTTTATCGATTAGATAGCACATCTAATCTTATCGGCCGGGGCCTTTCATGGTGGGCTCTTTTTTTTGTTCAATCGTCAAACTTCGCAGCGAAACCGCGACAGCCTCCACCGAGAACCACACCCGCTGCGCCGATACGATGGCGTCCCCCCAGGACTTCAAGTCTCTTCAGGACAAGGTCCAGGCCGCGCTTGTGGCCACTGTCAAGTCGGTCAACCGTGTCTCCGCCGAGGACCTTCCCTTCCAGCGCGCCGTCAACCCCAGTGTCGGCGACGATCTCGACGCCAAAACCACACGGATTCTCGAGCTCTCGACCACACTCCTCAAGTCAGCTGCAGAGGTCTGCGGACTCAATGCGCCCGACCTCGAAGATGCCGACGACGTTGATATGCGCTGGCGAAGCATCGTGGACGTTGTCGACTCAGTCTTGGAGAAAGCCGACACATCTATTGACGAGTACACCGGAGCTTTGAAGAGGAAGGATGCGCCTGCTGCTGATGCCGTAAGTGCGCTCCATGATTCGATACGGAATATCGTGTATACTGACGCTACATAGGCTCCCCAAGCGAAGAAGCCCAAGACGGCTGGAGGCGTTGTCCGCAGTGCCAACATCACTAAACCCCAACTCCACTTCGATCAGCCGGTCGACAACAACGCTCCATGGAAGCCCCTCGTTACCGCAAAGCCCCATGCTACGGTTCCTTTGGAGAAGAGCCTGATCACTAGCGAAACTGAAGAGGGTTTTGTCCAGTACGACTACCAAACTTTCTTACCGTTGATATTTCCTAGAGTGCCCAGTTCCGACAAGGTCGCATACAAGGCTGCAGCCAACTCTCGCAGGAGATTGGAGAAGTTACTATTACTCAATGATACTGACAGGGAGACTAGATACAAGCATCCCTACGAAACCGAAATCCTCGAGGCGAAATACCCCAATCGCGTCTACGAACAAGCCGAGCCGATTCCATGGCAGCCCGTCGAAGGCACGGAAGCCATCTACGTCGACACATATGAAGGGGTCTTGAAGATGCTGAAGGATCTGAAAAAGGCCAAGGAAATCGCCGTCGACCTGGAACATCACGACTTCAGAACATATGTCGGACTCACCTCGCTGATGCAGATTAGCACAAGAGAACAGGACTGGATTGTAGACACTCTGAAGCCATGGAGACAGCAGCTTCAGGTGCTGAACGAGGTTTTTGCCGACCCCAGCATAATCAAGGTTAGTACTACTGAGCTCACTGACGCTTTCTCAATGAGACTAATTATTCTAGGTCTTCCACGGCCCCTTTATGGATATGGTTTGGCTGCAGCGCGATCTTGGTCTGTATGTCAACGGTCTGTTCGATACCGGAAGTGCATGCGAAGCGCTACACTACCCTCAAAAGAGCTTGGCATTTCTTCTCAAGAAGTTTGTCAACTTTGACGCCGACAAGAAGTACCAATTGGCCGACTGGAGAGTGCGGTAAGTAAACCCCTGAAGCGGCCTCCCTGAGATACTAACATTGAGGATAGCCCCCTTTCTGAAGAGATGCTGTACTATGCCCGTTCTGATACCCACTTCCTACTTTATATTTACGACAAGATGCGCAACGAGCTCGTGATGAAGTCGGATAGGGGCAACCCCAGTACCGACTACATCGAAATGACGCTCCAGAAGTCTAAAACCCTCTCATTAAGTCGGTATGGTGGTGAGACATTCGACCCCAAGTCTGGCAAGGGAAGTAAGGGCTGGTACAACACTCTTCTGAAGCACCCCATGCCCTTTTCGGGCCAGCAATTTGCCGTATATAGAGCCATCTGGGAATGGAGAGACGAGGTGGCACGGAAAGAGGACGAAAGTACAGCCTTTGTCATGCCCAATGGTATCGTTGGCGATATCGCAAAACATATGCCACCAGATGCCAAGGCTCTACATGCCCTGATACCCAATCACGCCTTCATCGCACGGAAGAACGTCACCGAGATATGGACGCGCTATCAGGAGGCACGAGAAAGGGGCATCAACGAACCGCGTCTGCTGGACTTCTTCAAGTCGGAGCTTCCAAGGGCCGCTGCTAAGCCTCTGGCAGTGGCTACGAGCGAGGATGCGGCCGAGGGAGCGCTGGAACCTGCCCTCTTGTCAGAGTCTCAGCTATTCGGCCGCATGGCTCTGAGCTCGGCCTGGGAACAGCCAGCCTCTGCAGCTAATGGCCTTGGAGAGTATGTCATGCTCCCGTGGCAGAAATTTGTGCAAAATGCGAAGACGGTCGAGGTCATTCCCGAGGAAGATGTTGCTATGGAGGGAGGCGTCGAGGCGGAAGCCAAGGCTGCTGCGGCCGCTCAACCCGCTGAGCCTGAGGTGGAGGAGGAATTCACCCTCAAGGCTGGCACGAAACGGAAAGCTCCTACAGCAGACGCTTCTGATGTTAGCGACAACGAGTCTGAATCCGGTGAGAGCTCCATCGACATTGTCCTGGAGCGGCCAGAGTCCGAGAGGAAGTCAAAGAAGCACGGCAAGACGGATGCTGGCGAGCGCGAGGCAAAGGTGGCTGCGAAGAGGGCAGACAAGGTGGCGCGCTACACTGAAGATTACGGCAAGGCCGCTGCCGAAGTACAACGCTTGGAGAAGGAAGTCGCCAAGAAGAAGGCCGAGCCGGCTCAATTGGAGGAGGCGAAGGAGACGGCCGCGGAGAAGCAGAGAAAACTGCAAGGATACCTGACGGCGATCAACAACCGCAAGTCCAAGACGGAGAAGAAGGCGGCGAAGAAGGCCGAGAAGGCCCAAAAGGAGGCGGAGAAGAAGGTAAAGAAAGAACAGAAGCGTGCCGCGAAGAAGGCCCAGAAGGAGGCCAAGAAGGCCGAACAGCAGGAGGCTGACGGTGCGGACTCGAGCGACAGCGAGGAAGAAGAGGAGACGTTCGATTACACCAAGGCCACATCAGTGCTCCATGCGGCGAGGACGGGCAACCGCGGCAAGACGCACGTCAAGCCGACGTTTGACCCGTATGCGAAGACGGGTGATGAGCCGCTCAAGGGCGCGAGAAAGGCGCCGCCTCCCAGGGGTGAGAGGAGCGCTACGTTTAGGAAATAAGATGGGTGAGGTTCGTGTTGGGGTTTGCTGTCAAGGGGTTTGCAGCTTGATGGGAGTAGGATAATTGGAACGTGAGTGGATGAATCAGTAGCAATACTGTTCCGGGCGAGAGAAGCCCTCGGGCAGATGGTCCCGTCTAGAGTTAGGAACAGGACCAGAACTTTTTACAAACAGAGAGAAATGATGCCATCATTACATGCATGTCTAGAAGCAGTAGCAGAGCTCATCAGACTGATTTGTGAGGGATGTTGTTCCGTTCTACGTGTTGCATGAAAAGACGAGCGCCTTTCGTGAAGGTCTCTCAGACATTGTAAGCCGCATGGTAAGCACGGAATTCCTTCCGCGGTCGAAGGCATAGGTCTTCCGGGTTCCTCCCCACGTTTTGGATGAGGGTGTCGAGGGGCTTGGGGTATGTGGTTGTGTGGATGGATCATGGATGTGTGGATGTCAAAAGTCAAGCCGCGCCATCTCCACACCGCGCCCTTCCATCGAGTAGCAAACACGCGCATGTCATACATGAAGTGCCGCCGATCTTATCGCATCCCGGCAGTGGGAAAATGCGGAGCGCGGAGCAAGTAGCATGGCACTAGCGAGGTTGGGAACTTTGGAAGGGAGCAGCAAAGTGTTATGTCCGGAGGTGTGGCGCCCCTGAGGCTGTTTTCTTCTTGCTTTTTCTGATGTTTTGATAAGATAACCAACCGTACGTACAAAAGTACCTAAGGTATATCATCGCTCTTTCTGCAAGACTGAGGTTGGAGGTTTTTGACTTCACAGCTGTGGCTTGCATATATAAAGTTGATACGAGATCTTTTAGACTTTTGAGACTAAACAAGACATCGACTGCGCGACTTTAACACGGGCTCCATCTTTAGGGCGTGTTTGTCACCGTACGCATAGGACACTCACCTCCTTATTATCATCTACCATGCTCACATCTTGATAGAACTCATCAACACTCAGACAACTACGTCAAGCCTTCAAAGGACAAACAAGACGACACACCTTTCAACCTAATTCAACCAACGAAGGAAGCAATGACCGACCCCGCGACGGAGGTAAAGAAGCCGGCCCGCCTGCCCTCAGCTACGCACCATGTCATCGTCAAGCTCGAGACAATCCACGTGCCGCCTCCGGAGGTCAACGATGGCGACCTGGGAGCAGGAGTGACGCACGAGGTTATCGGGTACGAGTATACCAGGCCCTCAGAGAGCGCCGTCGCGGCGGCGAGGGCGTGGCCTGCGAGCGTGCTGATTACGACGACTGTGCCTATTAATCGGGAGACGCTGGGGGAGGCGCCGCATTTGTGAGTTTTAGGTTGTATTCTCTTCGAGTTTGGTGAGATTGGGGGTTGGACTGTTGTGATTGAGGTTAGAGAGGAGGGTCGAAGTTTTGGAAAGTTGAAGAGAGGATCTCAGGGGGAAGGGAGCTGTTGATCCTAAGAGTGATGAAGCTAACGGTCGGGCAAGGTTGTCTGCCGCAGGATCGAGTGATTCTATCTACCAGACAACGAGATTGAGAGAGTATGGTGTAACGGGCAGGGCTGATGACTTTGGAAGTCTTCTCTGGAAGACTCCCGTTGGACAAGTGTCTGCTTCGGCTGGAAAATGACCAATCTGCCTACATTACTGTGCTTCGATTCAAACCCGATATAGCTGGTTCGAAAGCGAGTAATAGCTGACGACGTGGACGACGCAGAAAGTGTATCATCACAGAGACTGTGGGAACGGATCACATCGATCTAGAAGAGTGCAGGCGTCGCGGCGTAACTGTGATATACTCGCCCAACGCAACAGTCGAAGCCGTCTCCGAGCACGCCCTCGGCTTGGTAAGTCCTCCCGCTCCCTACCTAGAATGATCTCTCAACATGTAAATTCACGAGCCTTTGACTAAAGGTGGGAAGAGAAACATATTCACTGACATTGAACACGGGGGAACTCTAGTACTTCTCATCCCGCAGACGCTTCGTGACGCTTCACAACACGATGATGGACCACGCCGAGGGCCGTCCGAACCCCTGGCGCGCAGAGGGAAGCATGTCCTCCCTCCTCCTCAATAGCGAAGGTCGCCCGCCGCATACCTGCGGCAACGAGGTGGTGGGTATGATCGGCTACGGGCCCATAGGGCAGCGCGTCGCTAAGATGTGTCGCGCGCTGGGGATGGAGGTCCTCGTCGCCGCGAGGAAGAACGATACCGCACCTGTCGAGAACGGTAACCGGGTCACTCCGGCCACCACCGACGCCTCTCAGCCGAATGGCAACGGAGACGCCCACCGCACACCCTTCGCAGAGGTCCTCCGCCGCGCGACGACGCTCTTCCTCATCGTACCCCTCACAGCAGAGACTAAGAACCTCGTCGGCGAGGCTGAGATGGCGACGATGAGGCCTGACGTCGTGATTATCAACGTTGGGCGGGGTGGGACCGTCAACGAGGCCGCGCTGGTGGCGGCGCTGCGGGAGGGGAGGATCTCGGGGGCGGCGACGGATGTTTACGAGGTTGAACCGGCGGGGAGCGGGCGGGATAGCGTGTTGTTAGGGGAGGGAGCGCGGGATCTGAATTTGACGCTGACGCCGCATTTGGCGTGGTGCGCTGATCAGACGAGGGTGAATATTCGGAGGGTTGTCGGGGAGAATGTGCGGTTGTTTTTTGGGGGTGGGAAGGGGAGTAATGTTGTGCTTGATATGCGGTGAGACACCTAGATTTTGCGGTTCGAGGAAATGGGATAGTTTCATCTCATAGAAGTAGGGTGACTTTGGTTGGAATAGCATCTTGACGTCTGAATGAATGTCGATGAGATCGTGTGTGTGAGCCAAGAGATCGATGAGGTTATTCTCACCGAGGATCCTAAGCTTCCACCCCAGATTGACGCGTCCGCTCGCTGCGACACCCCACACTTTGCGCCTTTTAAATGCCCGAAGACGACCTCGCATCTCATTGGTGCTTGAGACTGCTTCCAAGTGATGCCAAGACATCTGTCTGATCCCCGGTGAGCCTCAAAGGTTATTCGAGTAATATTCGATCTCGATTATGAGCCTTCATGGATATCCCATATGTTTAAGCTTGCGCCATCAACTCAATCGATCCAAATCATATAGATAGCACTTCCGACAAGAGTTCAGGATCAGACTAAGCAAAGAATGGGCAAGTAGAATCAAGCACAATCATCTTGAGAGTCATCGCGCCATGCAAGCCTCACTTCTCTCATGTGTCGTACCAAGCTCCGGGAGGCGTTACAAGTAAAGCGTCTAGCAATGACTCGTCTCACGCGAGCTCCGTTGCTCAAAATCGTTCGAGCTTTGTTATGCTTGAAACATCTAAACTTCTCCCACCTGTGCCGCCGGTGGTGCCCACAGTGACGCAGTTTCCGCGAGATTTGCTTCTTCTCTCGCGACTCGACCTAAGCAATAATCTCTCACAAACATGCAAGAGCCTGCAATTCACGGGTTTTCAGAGGGTCTCGTCATCAAAAACAACTCAGTAAATTGACGAGATATTTCGTCTAAGCCACAGTGATGCGTTCACCCGTTCGGTGAGTGAGTGAGTAAGTGAGTGAACGGCATCGTCCGCCGTGCGCTGGAAATGCAGGATGCGGGAGGTCCCCACTGATCGCCTTCAATTTCCTCAACCCCTGGGCTCTGCTCTGGGCTGAGCTGAGCTCAGCTGTCCGGATGAAACGTCAGTTGCTTCCTAGCGTCTTACCTCGAGTACGGACATCGAGTGAGTAAGCCGCTGTATCCAAAAGTGAACGGCGGGCTGCAGCTTTACCCATTTACTTGATGTGCTGGTTCGTCTGATGAACTCTCATGTTGAGTTCTTAGAGACATGAGATGTGGGTGAGTGGAGGTCTGTCATGTCATAAAAACAACAGAGCCACGCAGCAGTTGCCAAGACAGTGCCGCGGGATCCACCACGGGAAATGTCAGAATGTGGGGATTTGGGACGATGGGTAAGGGGTACCAGCAGAAACTCTCGCTCGGGAGAGCCAAGCCTTTCTTGTTCTCCCATGTTGATGACTTGGCATAGAACAAGCTCTCAACGTCAGTCAGGCATCGTCAATTCTCGATTGGCCTCTTGAGTTGAGGTGAATGGGTCTGTCTGATGCAAATAGAAGACCAAAAGGTCTAGAACACGATTCCGAGCGGGAGACTGGGATGCTTCCCGCCCCGCCGGGACGGGGTGCCGCGCGCTCAGGGGCCGGCTGGCCTCCTGGCGCTCGTAATGCGTTCGTTTGTTCGAAACGCGGGCCCCAGAAGCAATTTACATTGGACATACGCTACAACCCACAGAGAACACCAGACCTAGATGAAGGGAAACAAATCCCAGGGATGGGTCTACTTTGAGCAATCTATATATGAACTTGCCGCGACTTTCCCTTTTCCTCCGAAAGTCTCCTTTTGATCTTGCTCTCCATTCTCACACACCACCGTTCATTCGTGCTTCAATTCTTTGCATCTCCTTGGGCTGGACTCGGATAACTCTCGTTTACAATACAACCAAAAAACAAAATCACACTCGTTCTTACCCATTCTCCGAACTTCAAGCGCCTCAAGATGCAGCTCTCCGCCCTCCTCCTCCTCGCCCCTGCCCTCGTGGCCGCAACTCTCGACCCGGCCACCTCCAACACCAAGGGCAAGTGTCCCTCAAGCTACAACTGCAGCGCCACAAAGGTCTCAAAGGCCATCCAGGCCGCCGAGTGCTCCCACAACACCCGTACCAGCAAGACCCAGACGTTTGCCGTCTTCGAGACCGACCACCAGTACGACGGCAACTTCCCTCTCGCCTAATTTTTCTTGGCATCTGCTGTTAGTGAATGAGTGAGCCTACCACCAAATTACTAACAGCCGAAAACTCTTCACCTCCCCTTGCCGGAGCCCGCATCCGCGATGGCCTCACAGCCGCCGTCGGGCACCGGACTGATGTCGGCCGACCAAGCCGACCCCGAACCAGGCTCCGGGACACCTCCGGAGCCGAACCCCACCTCAAGAGCTAAGCGACGCCGCGACGCCGAGGCACAGCCGACCCGGCCCAGCCTAACGGGAAGCCAGCTTGATGCCACCACCGACGCCCCTACCTCGGCCGAGGGGCCCGCAGCCTCTACCGCATCTGCTCCGAGCGGATCTGCCACAGGGTCCGTCTTGACAGCCCTTGCAGAAGAAGCTAGACAGTACGAGGCACGGAAAGACGTCTTTCTGACCATTGCACGGTCCGTCGACAGCGTTGTCGCCAGCTTTGACGGTTCTAGAAAGCAGATCGCGAAAGAAGCCACTGCCTATGTCATTCAAACCCTCAAGAGACTGATCAATCACGAGACAAGCCCAATAGCGGCCCGGAGTTGGGCGGCTGTCGTCGCACCGATGGCGGGCAACACCACTGCGGCGACCCGGAGCGGCCAGAGCTGCCAGAGCTCTGCCCGCCCGAAGGCCACACTCCCCGCCGAGGATCAGCCGCAGGCGCAGCCGAAGGAGGACCTCCGCATCTTTGCCCGCGTCCCGGAAGAAAGCTTAGCGGCCGCTCGGAAGATCGCACCGTTCGCCGTACGACAGATCGTCTGTAAGGCCGTTGGCCTGGGGCTAGCGGACCTTCCCCACGTCTACCATATCAGCACAGGTTACTCTCTGAAGCCGCGAAACAAGCAAATACAGGAAAGACTACTTACAAGTAAGGCAAAGCTGGCGGAATGCCTCGGCGCCCACCAAGTCGAGACGCCTATCAAGTGGCACACATACGTTGTGCCGCGATGCCCAACAAAACTACACAGCATTGGCGGGGACGTCCTGGACCCAGCCACACTCGTTGAAGATGAGGTCTTCGCACAGACAGGACAGAAGCCTGTCCTTGCTCGACCGTCCCGCCTTGGGCCCAACCCAGTCACGAACGAAATATCTTGGCTCATATCATTCACATCAGAGGTCACGCCCTTCAGGCTCTTCAACCAAAGCGGCAGATCTCTGCCCATCAAAAAACGAAGGACGCTCATCCGACATGACCCCGGCTGCCAGGGCTACCACGCCAACCGGTTCTGCGGACGACGACCGACTTGCAGCAACTGCGGAAGACCTTCCGACTCACACGAAACGGGACCTTGCATGGCCAGGCCCCAGTGTCCCAACTGCTGCGGCCCCTTCCAAGCCGGCCACACAGACTGCCCAGCGAGGCCCTCGGTCGTAAACGGCGTCGTCTCCCTTCCCGGTCGAAAGGAGCGGGCTCGGATCCGGAAGGCCGGCCAGAAAGCATCGGACACTCTGTACAAGGCTACTCGATCCGACAGTAGCCAGGAGGCGGCAGGCGTCCCTACCTCCACCAGCCAGAACCAGCAACCCGGCGCCAAGCGCGCGCGCACGAGAACGCCCTCCGCAAGCTCGATCGTTTGCCTCGGTGACGGAAGCACTGACAGCAGCAGCATGGATGAAGACGAGGCGGACGAAGGCGAAGGCGAAGACTCCCCCGACAACACCTCCATCGACCGTCCCGTGCTACCCATGCCAAGCAGGAGCCAACGGGCAGCACAGAAGCCAAACTACAACGTCGCGAATGCCTACACCCACCTCGAACTCGACTCGGAGACGTAAGCCGAGAGCGGCGACCCCACGGATGCTACGCGTTGCGCAGGGCAACGTCGGAAAGATCTCCCCGGCGCACACGGCTTTCCTGCAGCTCTGCTGGGAGGCTCAGATAGATGTGGTCCTCGTCCAGGAACCCTGGACGGGCTGGAAGGACGGAAACGTGCAACTGAACACGCACCCGGGTTTCGACTCTTTCGTCCCGGTCGACTTCTGGGACAGCGAAGGAACCAGACCAAGAGTATTGACCTACACACGCAAAGGGATAGGGATGACGGTGGAGCAGCAGAGGCCTGTCCACACGAGAGACGTACTGTGGCTGGTGGTCGACAAAACGACGACTATCGTCAACGTGTACAGACAACCCCGCGACCCCCACAGCCGCACAACAGGGATACTGCTAGAACTCAAACCCCCGGAGCGAGCTTTGATCGCGGGTGACTTCAACGCGCATCACTACTCTTGGGAGCCCGGGACGAGGAACGGGAACCGGGGAGATGACATTGCAGGCTGGGCAGACGGCCACAATCTCTCTCTTATCAGCGAAGTTGGGGTGGCAACCCAGGATTGCGGACATGTCCTGGACCTGGCTTTCTCTAATATCCCTTTTGCGCACGCGCAGGTCAGCCCACAGCTACACCCGGGAGCTGACCACGAGGCCATCGTGGCCGTCATACCACTATTCAAACGCCCAGTGTCACAGGGAGAGGGCCACCCGCAGCCACGGCCACTGTCAGTGCCCGACTCGGCGCTGCCTCGGCTGAGAGACCTGATCGAAGGGGGGCTAGCTGCGATGCCCAATCTGGGGGATCAACCTACTCCGGAAGACCTGGACGGGCAGGCAAGTCACATCGTCGAGCTCTTCTCCCGAGCCATTGAGGCGGTCGGCAAGAAGAGAGGAAAACATGGTAAAGGCGCGGCTTGGTGGACGGAGGAATGCGCAGAGGCCCACAGAGCATACCGTGCTGCCCGCAACCAACAAGCCTGGGAGACGGAGCAAGATGCGCACCTTTATCTAATGGAGAAACGAAAGGCGTTCCTGAGCACGGTGAGGAAGGCTAAGCGAGCATACTGGGCCGGAAAGATCGATGGAGTCGCTTCAGACCGGGACCTGTACCAGATCATGGGTTGGCGGAAGGCGAGCCCACTGACCAGAGCACCCCCATTGGTTGTGGACAACCAGACGATCGAGGATACTGACGAAAAGGCCCAAGCGCTTCGGGAAGCCCTTCTCGACAGGTTTAGTGCGGAAGATGACGCACCGGGTAATCCGTTTGACGTACCCGTCGTCCCAAGGCGAGCGATTACTTGGCAGGACAATGTTAGCGGAGAAGAAGTGAAGACGGCCACCTTAACAAAGACAACGACCCCTGGTGTGGACGGGATCACCACGCGCCTCCTCCAGGCCTGCTGGGGCGTCATCTCGGAGCCGGTCAGG